TCCCCGCTTATGCTAATGAAGCCCGGGAAATTCAAATCCCGGGCTTCATTAGCAAGTGCGGTATGCATACATTACCCTCCTAGTTCGAACTAGGAGGGTAGTGTAGACATACCCATAGGGATTAAACATCTTTGCTGTGCATGAATAATATAGTTTGTATTCCCCACATCTGCAAAATTTATTCTTAGTGAAAAACAAATATACCGCTTATGCTAATGAAGCCCGGGAAATTCAAATCCCGGGCTTCATTAGCAAGTGCGGTATGCATACATTACCCTCCTAGTTCGAACTAGGAGGGTAGTGTAGACATACCCATAGGGATTAAACATCTTTGCTGTGCATGAATAATATAGTTTGTATTCCCCACATCTGCAAAATTTATTCTTAGTGAAAAACAAATATACCAAGAATTTAAGAAAATCTAAATTATTTGGAGAGGAAAGGCAAGTACATCAAGAGAGGCAATGGTGCATCATGGGAGATGTAGTTCAGCCCACAGAGAATGAGAAATGAGAATGGAGAAATGAGATGATTAACCTATAATTTTAATGAGATACCAGGGCAACAATTTAGAATGGCTGAGAGAAGAATAATCAGTAATGCTTCTTTAAACATTTAGATGGAAGGTTCTACTCTAAGTACTGACCCAGCCTATCTAAGAGCATCAAAATATCAGGTGATACAGCTGTAGGAAACACTGTACCTAAACGTACGTGCTGGGACTGAAAGACAATTTAAAAATGCCAAGCAACTCATTAGGTAAGATGCACATACTGATGGATAATAAGGATGTTAAATTTAGTTTAATCAACTAAATGACTAGTCGATGGAATTTCCATTGACAAGTCAATAAGGAGAGCCACAGCGGGGATAGCTCCCGGCCCCAGGAGCTAACCCTGCTGCGGCTCTGCCTTTTAAATGTATTAAGAGCCTGACATTTAAAAGGCTGAAGTGCAGCGGGGGGATCCAACATGAGCTGCGACAGCTGATTCCCAGCTCATGCTGGGTTCCCTCTGCTGTGCTTCTGCTTTTTAAATGTACTAAGAGCAAGCAGGCTCTTAATACATTTAAAAAGTAGAGGCACAGCATTTGAGACTGGGCGGGAGCTGGGAATCAGCCAGGAATCAGCTCGCGCGCAGTCCCTGCTACCTCCCTGCCTCTCCTGCCGGTTCCCCCCAGAGATGGTGCTGGGGGGAACCGGCTTTTAGATGGCTCCTCCCAGCACTGGCTCCTGCTCTCCCCCTTGCTGACTCTCTCTGACAGAGGCAACAAAAGGATGGGGAGGGAGGGGAAGAAGGGGGAAGCAACTAGTCGCTTATATCCATAATGGATAATATAAATTACCTGCTGAGAAAGAATAGTTACTGCTTCTTTATGTTTGGCATCTCTCAGATTGACTCCATTTACTGCCAGAATGGCATCTCCAACATGCAGACCTCCACATCGGTCAGCAGGTTGACCAGGGTGGATTTCAGAGATTAATATTGGAACACCATGCTCCTTCCCACCCTAACATCATAAAAAAGAAAAGAATTTTGTAAAATATATATTAGTACAAAAGCAATCTCTTGATAGCTTTTAAAATGTTTATAATAGAAAATGAAGCAGTATATTTTTGTTGAAAATAATTCATTTTATGATTCCATTAATTATTTGTCTGCATAGATAAGTAAACAAACCTGAGTTATATACTCGAAGAGTAAATGACGATAATTCTGATAAATTAACAGAAAAATATTTAAATCAGATATATAAATTAATGAAATAGGATTGTATGGTAAATACATGCTTTTATACATCGGACACTGTACCAGTTACTTAGCTGCTACATGCAGGATGCAATAAAATAAAGGCATTATGGACAGAATTTTCAAGCTCAACTGCTTAAAAGTTAGATATCTAAATCAAAGTGACCTGACTTTCAAAGATACAGGGCAGTCACTCAGCCTTTGAAAATAAGCCCACTATTATTTGGATGTATGAAGTTAATAAGAAAATTTGAAGAAGGTGGTCTTTGCCAAGAAGGAGGAATTTCTGTCGTAAGTCCCCATTTTTCTCTTTGCTTGCCAAGATTATATTAATTGGTTGTCAAAATTCGTCACTAACTAACCTGTAGATAAAACCTAAGCCCAGAAATGCAATTACTGTTTTTTGTTAAATGCATGTTTCTAAAGTTGTCTTTTTTTTTTAAAAAAAAAAGAGAGGTTTCAGCTATCTTGCACATTCTAGAATTTAGAATGACTTGCATTAGTTTTTATGTGCAGTCTAATGCACGAGATATTAAAAGCAATAGACTCATTGTTCCTTATATTTTATAAAAATAATCCTCCTAAAAGTTAATACCTTCAGATTTCAAGTTAATATACATTTCCACCAGCAATCTTACACTGACTATCTTAATGGTGAAAGTACAAACTACTTTTTGTTGTTCATAAATAAAAGTGTATAACAACAGTTCTATTTAAGTGGGTTTTTTTCCCATTGGATTACTACTTATCTTGTAATAACCAGTCTGTCCAAATGTAAAAACTGGCATCACTGACTGTTATAGTATCATCCAAACTATTCTCCCTAAGCAATAGAAAAGAACTAAAAAGTTAACTGTCAATGAGGACAACGTGAAAAATAGGTAAGTATTTATTACTGTGATTGAAATGCCTAGTCCCTCATGGTCTTCTTTAACAAGGAGAACTTTTCTGATTGGACCAACGCCTTGACTCTTCTTTAAGGAGTCTGGTTCCTAGTTTAACACAAAAAAGAATAAATATAAACATATGAACTAGAAGGTATTTTTATGTTTTGTTCAGACTCAGAAGAATACAAACAGCAGCGGATAAGTTACATTAATACAAGCCAGCCCAAATACAGAATATTCCTTGACAACTGTGAAGAAGAACTGATGATGGATTAAAAAACGAAGATTCATCTTACATTCCTGATTGGAGGTAGTGTTCCTGTGGAAGCAACAGATGGATGAGACAGAAGTCAGCTCCAGAAAGAAGAAGTTGACCACATGTATGTCACATTTGGAAAGCTTTGGGTCTACCACTCAATACTAGACACTATATTTGACCACAGGTGAATTTTAAAAAAAAAGGATAAAACTACCCCTTTATAATTACAGTAATAGAGTCAAAACTTTTAGTATACAGTCCCAAATGTTTCTTCTAATTTATTCCAACAAGATAAAAAAAAAAGGTGATTTGATCTCAAAATATTACAAAAGCAGATATTCAAGCAAGATATTTCTTTTGCTGTTATATTTTGTTACATTTATTGTTACTATCACACATGATGAGAAAAAAAGTAACTTCACAGAAAATCCATGGGGACCAATATTTATATAAGTAACTAGGGGGCTGCTCCTCCTGCTCGCTACTCTTGTAAACCCCCCCTCCCTCACACTGGTCGCTTTTACAGCCAGAGAGCCTGTTAATCTTGCACTGAGCCCAGCTGCGCTCTCTATGGCTTCAAGTTACTCTCACCCTTCTCCACTCCCACCCACCACAATTTTCACAGCTGCCTCTGGCTTATTGCGGTGTATGACAAGAATGCAGTTCACCAATTGCTAGGGGGCTGCCCACTCCCCTCCTTCCATCCCTACCCCCACTTCCATTCCTACACCCACCTGTCTTCCCTAACCCCTCCCCCTCCTCTGCTTATCCCTACTCCCACATCCTTCCTCCATATTCCTACACCTCCATCCTTCCCTAAACCCTCCCCCCTCTGCACCCCCACTGCCCATCCCCATGCCTCCATTCCTATATCCCTATCACACCCACCATCCCCCCCTTACCACACCATCCATCCCCCCATACACTCCTATCCCCTATCCTCCCTCCCCCCGTACACCTTGCCCCCTTCCACACACACCCCCCACCCTGGCTAGCCCATCTCCACTTGGCCATATTGGCAGCTGCTGCAAACACTCTCTGATGCCTCAGGCATTGCTTAAAAGCAATTTCCAGCTTGGAGCTAGTGCGGCCATTTGGGCCACGGCAGAGGATGGGGTGGTGGGTAGCCAGGGACATGGAGCCTGCCTCTTTTCCTGACGTGAGTGGGCCGTGCCCCAGGCCTTGCACCAGCTGATGCAGCCCCTTGGGCCAAGGGGCTGAAAGCTCCCACCTGGGAGGAGCACAGCCTTCTGGTCCCCATCCCTGGGCAGTGAGCCAAAACTCACCCCGCACCACGCACACAGTCGTGAACTACAAGTAGCAGCCAGAAGGGGACATGGTGCAGTGATTGATTTCTCCAAGCAGGGGGCCACCAGGACCAGCCAGCTGCGCAGCCAGCACCACCCCTTGGTCACTGGGCCCTGTGCCACTTCCCTTCAGGGCTTGCTCCTGCGTGGTGCCTCTGAGCCTCTGGCTGCCAGGAAGGCCCCCAATGTCCCAGACCAGCCGACCCAGAGCCTATACCTGGGATTTCCTAACTGAACAAGCCCCACTCCCCACAGCAGACTGATCTGGAGCAGCATCTAGGCCTGGATGGAGTCACTCCCTGCCCCAGACCCTGTTTGGGGATGGGCAAAGCCACCTGGCAGCCTGGCCTGAGCAGATTCCACCTCCCAAGAGTCCTGCCCACTCAGCTCTGGCTACAGCCTTTTGGGAGGTAGAATCTGCCCAGGACAGGCTGCCAGGCAGCTTTGCTGTCCCCAAACAGTATCTGTCTGGGGCAGGAACGCCATGGGAGGGCAGACCCTGAGGGGCGCAGAGAGATGTGATGATGTCACTCTGTCGCTCTGCAGGGAAAACGATTTTTATATAGAGAGATGAGTGATTTTATATGACACAGCTGAGACGCTTTTAAGTGGCTTTATTTCAAAGAGTATTTTCTATAAAAACCATGATTCGTTAAGGTGTATCCAGTTGTGGCACCCAAAATCATTAGCAACTTCTGAAAAGGTTCACCATGAATCTGAGGTCACACCTAACTCAAATTAAGTTTATTATTCAGATTTTTTTATAAAGATGTTTTGACAATGAACACAAATCAGATATTTGAAAAGGTAACACCTAGACACCTGTGAGGAACATTTTAACCAGCCCAGGCACTCATTAAGGGATTTTAAAGTGGCCATTCTCTTACACAGTAATTTCAGGAACTAACTAGAGAGAGAATACAGAACTGGCTTTCATATGCAAATCTGACACATTTACCCAGGGACTGAACAAAGACATTTCCTGGATGGGCCGTTATATTTAATATCCAAATGACATCAAAAGCTAAGTATCCGGCACTTACGGCCCATAGTATTAGCCTCATTTAGCACAGACGCTTTAATTGGCAGGGTATTTTTCTTTTCTCCTCCCACCCCCTTTTTCTGCTTTAAATTTGTCCCTCTGTGTCTCTTGCTCCACTCATCATCTGAAGAAATGGACTGTGCCCACAAAACTCATGATATTATCTAAATTTTTTGGTATTCTGTAAGGTGCTACAGGACAACTTGTTTTTTATTTTTTTTTAAATTACAGATTAACACGGCTACCCCTCTGAGAGTAACAAGTCCAACATTTTGAAACTTATGTCCCTGAAGTTAGGCTTCTAAATCCATAAGTAGGCACCTAAACACAAGTAAAGTATGAACCTCTCTAGTCCAGAATTCTCTGGTCCGCAAACATCCATCGTCCAGAATGATTTTAGTTAGCCGAATGTCCACTTTTTATGGTGTGGCTAAGTTTCCTGCGGTCCTATAGAATTTGTTTACAGCTACCTGCCCTAGCAATCAGTGTTCTCTGCTGTTATTTAGCTCTAATTTACCCCAAATGTCCTCTAACATCCCAGTAAGCAATGAAAGTGTTGGTAATGCTGCTAGACAATATTGACCTCACATGGTTCAGAAAATTCTCTCATTTGGAACCAGTCATATACCAACGGTGCTGGACTAGAGAGGTTCAAACCTGTAGTCTGATTTTCAGAAGGGCTGAATACTCGTTACCTTCAGGGAAGTCAATTGAAGCAACAAGTACACAACATTAGGCCATTATAGTGGAGTAACCATTTAGGCTAGAACCACACTTAATCTGTAATATATGTAACACCATAACGACTCAAATTATCGTATCAAATACAAGGGAATATAAACTCTACATAAGAACAAACAAGAAAAGGGAGGATTACACATATTAGTTTGTTCTGGAAAGCTGTGAAGGACTGGTGCTGAAAATAGGGGAAGACAGCCTCACTAAGATAAATATCAAAGTTCATCTTACATGCCCTGGTGGTGCTTGCATTGGTCGTTTCAGGTCATTACGACCCCGACATGCTCTTATAACAGTTTTGTGACGATGCAGGTGTATTTCTGCTTCTAGCTGGTTCCAAAGTTTATCATGAGCAGGACCCTTCATATCTCGACCTAGTAACTGAATCTGCTGGACCCTACAAAACAAGAAAGAAAAAAAAGAGTGTGTACAATACATCACAACTGAAAATGGAGGTGTTCTAGTACTCACCATTTATCCGCTCTAGTGTACTGAGGTATTGTAACTTGCCCCATGTGCTTGAATAAGCACAACTGTAGCAATGTCAAGCAGTTACACAAACAGCACTCCCTGAAAGTTTCAGGGCCTGTAGACTAGGGATGTTGAAATATAGTCAACTATATGATTAACTGCTACGCCTAGGCTTAGCGATTAATCTTGTTGACTACACATATTTCCCACCTCCCTTGCTGCCTCTGATACAGGAGTCAATGCTGGGGGGGAGCCGGCTTAAAAACCAGTTCCCCTCAGCACCAGCTCCGCAGTGCTGCCCTGACCCACGCTGCTGCCTCTGTCAGCTACCCATTGACAGAGTAGGGAATTCGGAATGCCCGTGAACAGGGGCTGCTGCCGGGGACCAGTCTCCGTCCACAGTGGGCCTGAGCAGCCTCTGTCCGCAGGGAGCTCAGATCCCTTGTGGACAGGGGCTGCTGGTGCCCCACGCTGCTGCCTCTGTATCAGAGGCAACAGTGTGGGGCGGCAGGCAACTGGTCTTCACAGGGAGCTAGTGTGATGCAGTGTGGAGAAGCAGGGGGCTCCCAGGTCTGCCAGCCCTGCCCCCAGGGACTAAAGAACTGTTGCGTAACCAATAAGAATTCGTGCAGTTACTAGGTATTCAATTATCCTAGATCTCTAACATCCCTACTGTGGACTGCGGTACCTATCTCACATTACCTAGCAAAGCTCCTTTGAAGCAGGTGTAAATGGCTTGTAAGATGAGGATTTTTTGCTTAAATCAATTGTAACTACAAGATTTCTCTATCTAGTGAAATCCTCTCTTTCCCCCAAACCCTCCAACTCTGCATCCTACCTTACAGGCCCAAACCCCCGCTTGAGAAATCATTTGGGGTAGAAACCTCCAACTATTTCCCTGGTTGCTGGGTGAGAAATGTAGCCTAGCACCTGCTGCAGCTGCAGTCATTGTAGAGAAAGATACTGTCTGGGCTTCCTCTACAACCCACAAGGTCCAAATTGTTTCTGAGGGCAGCCTTGGAGCGCTATTTGAGTGGACAGTGGGTGAAATAATAACAAAGGGGCATTCTGGCACAGAGGATAATGCAATATCCTTTTTAAAACAAACAACTGGGAAAATAAAAAACAGGTAAGGGATAAAAATAATATGCTAAAAAGAGAATTAATAACTTTGTAGGGGGATAGTTTCTATACATTTTGAAAGATAAAAGGCACTAAAAATGTGTACCTATCATCACTCTCACTAATGTTTATCTACTCAATCCCCTTCCTACCCCTTCCATTGGATTTTTATCTTTTTAGATATTAGCTAGGGACAGTGTCTTCCTATATGCTTGCATAGGAATAAACAAAATGTGGTTTTGTCTCTTAAGTGGAGCCTTTTAAGTTTTACCACAATGTAAGAAGCCATGATTTTACATTTAAATTCCCTTTTTATTTTGAAACAAATATTGGTTCTTTAAAAAATTCTTTTGGAATTAGGCTATTACTTAGGTAGTCATCCTAGGTCATTCATGGAACTAAAGAAAACAAACTTTTGTTCTTTGGGGACATACGGAATGGCTTTTTTCCCTCTTTCATGGAATCATAGAATGACTGGAAGAGACCTCAGGAGGTCATCAAGTACAGCCCCCTGCCCGAAGCAGGACCAACCCTAATTAAATCATCCCAGCCAGGACTTTGTCTCTCTGAAGAACATGTGTTTGCTTTTCTTACATGACACAAGAACCTGACTGGAAATATTCAATCCAATGCTTAAACAGATTTATGCATATTTCTAAAAGATGATTCCAAGCAGCTGGTTAAAATTATCAATGGACATGGTGAAAGCATGGTTTATTTTCAACAGCAAGAAAAACAGGGAACCTAATTTTAAACGTATCCTAATCCTTCCAGAATTTTGACTCTCATATACAATTATTATTATTTGTATTATCATAGCACCTCTGAGTCCCACTCATGGACCAGGGCCCCATTGTGCTACGCACTATATAAACAGAAGAAAAATATGGTATCTGCCCGAAAGAGAAAAACTCTCATGGTACTGATCTGAAATTGCTTGTACAAACCTTCCAGCTAGTTCTTTATCTAAGTATTTGGCTGCCAGTCTTGCCCCATAAACTTCAGCCTGAAGCACAGCTATGTGTCGACGAAGTGCTTCATTTTCCTTCCTCAGTAACTTCACCTCAGCTTCAAGTTGAGCTTCTTTCACCTTTTCTTTCTTGTTGGCTTCAAGCTCTCTCTCCTAAAACAAATTAAAGAAAAAAATGTAGTTTTTATTTACGTTATTTCAGGAACAATACTAAACAATTCTACAAATAAACATGAAATAACTGCAGCATTACGTAATGAATTGTTCCCTCTAAAATATTGAAGTATTGAAGCTTCCTTTATTATAAAAACTCTGACAAGAGCCACAAACTTATCATACATTCCTTGTCCTTTCTTGGGGAGGAGAGGGCGGAAAGACATAGGGGAAGGTTTCAAAAAGCACAAAAGGCAATTATGTGCTCAATCCTATTGAGGAGTTGGACACCTAAATTGTATTTGTGCCTTTGAAAATCTCTCTTAAACACCATTAATATAAAAGACTTCTAGACAAAACACTATGTAATGCAGCCATTAATTTTAAAGCAAAAAAATAACATTAGATACCACTTCACTAACCAATCATGCCATATCAAATTATCTGTAAAATGCTACCAGACCATTTGTTGTTTTTCTCAAAATATGTGACTAACATGCAAGGGTGACGAGTAGTGTAAGTTACACTGAGTGACAGTTTTAAGTGTAAACTAGTCCTATTCTATTGGGAGACTAGGAAGAGAAAAAGCCTGGAGTTGAAAGACAGAAAGACTGCATGCTCAAATTGATCCACAAGTGCAAGTCTTATAAAGATCACTTATTTCTCTTTTAAGAAAATCACCACAAGATGAAAATCACGTACAGAGCTCTACATAGTCTTACAACAAGAGACTATTGGTAGTTAGAGATGTTAAATATCGGTTAATTGAATAGTCACAAAAAACTTGTGAATTTTTACTGGTTAGTCTACTATTCTATAGCCCCTAGTGGAAGGGCCAGCAGCCACTGTATCAGAGGCAGCAGCACGGGGTATCAGGTGGGAGCTGGTCCACGGGGGCGGAACCAGTTTAAAAATCAGCTCCCCTCGCGGACTGGCTGCCTGTCACCCAGTGCTACTGCCTTTGATAAAGAGGCAGCAGTAAGGGTCCTGTCTAAGGGTGTGAGCTCTTGGACCCGGCACAAGCTAGAACTGAGCTGGGCTGCCCGCCCACCTGGCTCCTAATACACTTTAAATGCAGGGCTGCACGGGGGTAGGTCCTGGACCCATCATGAGCCAGGATTGAGCCAGGCTGCTGACCAGCCTGCTAAAAAATGTACTGGTGCGAGGAGGGAGGGAAGGCAATGCTCTTACTACATTTAAAAGGCAGAGCCACAGTGGGGTTAGCTCCCAGGGCCAGGAGCTAACACTACCATGGCTCCTCAGTTCCCCCCATTGACTAATCTAGTAGTCGATGGAAATTCGATCAACTACTTGATTAGCCACAATTTAACACCTTTATCTAGAAAATATCTAAGCATATAACAAGCACCAAATGAACATCTGGAATAAAAATAAATAAATTAAAAAACCACACCCCACTCTAATTGAAACATTAGAGATAACTATTTTTTCTCAAAAAATGACGAGGAGTCCTGTGGCACCTTATAGACTAACAGATTTATTGGAGCATAAGCTTTCATGGGCAAAGACCCATGTCATCAGATGCTTGTATTTTTCTCGGATTATTTACTTTGGATACTTGACAGCATTCTGTGTACATTTGGTATCACTGTTTCCCATTCACAGCCACATTTCCAATTTCAACTGCTATTCATGTGTGCCTTTCACTCAGCAATAGACAGAAATAGTGTTGTAAAACCGCTTCTTTCAGGGGGACTGAAGAATAAGTGTGATACCTGAAACTATTTTTAAAAAGAAATTTCAAATTGACAGTGTTCCTTGAAGACCACAGGCCCTTATCCTGAAAACTACTCATCATGAAAGGATCTCTGCTCATGCAAAGCTCTAATGAAGCAAACATGTCCATGCAAGGATCCTCATTTTTGGAGCATCTTGCAGGATTGGTATTTAAATATGCAATTTCATGCACAAAACTCAGGAAAAGAAAGACTGAAGATTCCAGAGATGAGAAAACCTACATTGTTTAGTATGAAAGATTTATTTAATATGAGGCTGCTCAATTTTTAATCTTAAAATAATATTTGATTATCCCTTATTTCTTCATTCCCCATGATTAAAACTATTATGGAAATCCAAATTACTGCACAATGCTTAATCTGAATGCAGAGAAAAAAGGGAGTTACTCGCTTTGTGCAGTAATGACTGTTCTTCGAGATGTGTCTTCCTCCTCCCCTCCCCACCATGGGTGCTCCACTGTTGGTGATGGGTCACCCGAAGCTGCAGATCGGAGCCTTGCAAAGTAGTTTCCCCTGTTGAGCCGTGCATGTGCAGGAGGCATCACATGATGCTCCTGCCTGAGTTTGCTAGTCGCACGGCTCAACCTTTCAGTTCCTTGATATGCCCAAGTAAGGCTCCGAGCAAAGGAGAGGAAGGGAGGGTCGTGGAGCACCGATGGGGATACACATCTTGAAGAACAGTCGGCCTTTTCTTCTTCAAGTGATGTCCCCATGGGTGCTCCACTGTTGGTGACTACAGAGCAGTATTCGACCCAGATGGAGGGAGTCAGAGTCACTGTTTAGCAGTGGAGGACAAAACTGCATTGGCACTGCTGAATCGTAAGCGAGTTGTGGTAATACGGCATAATGTTTAGCGAAAGCTTGATCTGAGGACCATGTGGCAGCTCGGTAAATGTCTCTTAAGGGAACATTGTTCAAAAAGGCCATGGAAGCCACTGTAGCCTAAGTAGAATGTGCTCACTGTGGATGTTGTAATGGTCTGTTGGCCAGGGTATGAAGCTAACTATGCATGTCGATATCCACTTTGAGATACATTGGGATGAAATAGGAGTACCTCTTGAGCATTCAGCAATGGAAATAAAAAGTCACTGAGATTTACAAAATGCTCGTGTTCTCTCAAAGAAGGAGGCCAATGTTAATTGGATATCGAGAGTATATAGGCTAGCGTCTCGTGGTGAGGCATGAGGCTTTGGGAAAAAGGTAAGTAACACAATGGGTTCATTCACGTGGAATGCTGTACAGACTTTTGGTAAGAATGCTGGGTGAGGTCTCAGTGTGACTCTTTTGTAAAAAACGTGTATGAGAGTTCCGCTATAAGGGCCCTAAGTTCCCCAGCTCGCCTCTCTGAAGTGATGGCTAGTAAAATGCAGACCTGCATAAAGAGGAAGGGGAGTGCCACAGTAGCCAATGGTTCAAAGGCGGACCTGGTCAGATAATCCAAATGAAGTTAAAGTCCCAAAAGGCGAGTGGGGTCCTAAGAGGGGGGTATATGTTGTGGAGGCCCCTAAGAAACCTTTTTGTGACAGGATGAGCAAATACGGAGAAACGATCCACAGAGGTGTGAAAAGCTCTTATTGCGGAAACGTGAACCCTCAGAGAAGAGAGTGAAAGCCCCAACATCTCAAGATCTCATATGTAGTCCAGGAGGGTGTTCATTGGAGACGTCCAAAGGTCTATCTTGGCTCTCTGACACTACTGAGAGAACCATGCCCATTTTTGAAGGTAAGTCTTTCATGTAGACTGTCTCCTGCTATGAAGAACATCCTTTACCTGCTGAGAACATTGGTCTTCTACTTTTGAAGAGTATGCAGTTGTGGGTGCAACATCTTCCTGTGGTTCTGAGCGAGAAGGTTGCATCGGCATGGCAATGGGTAGGGAGGTCTAACCACTAGCCTGTGCAGGTATGGATACCAGATCTAGCATGGCCATGACGAAGCTATCAGGATGACACGAGCCCTGTCCGTGCGGATCTTGTGTAGGACTCTGGGAATAAGAGGTATGGGGGAGAAAGCATAATGCAGAGGGGCTGTCTATTGGTTCAGAAATACATCCCCCTGAGAGTGTTTGCTGAGTCCCGCTCGGGAGCAGAATCGGGGGCATTTGGTATTCTAGGGAGAAACGAACAGGTCTATTGATAGCCACTCCCATTGGTAGAATATTGAGTTGGTGACCTCCGTATGTAATTCCCATTTGTGGTCTATGGTGAAGTTGTGGCTCAGGGAGTCTGCCATGGTGTTGCTGGCCCCAGATAGGTAAGATGCTACGAGCGTAACCTGGTTGCGGATGCACCAATTCCATAGGTGGATGGCCTCTGCACATAGGGAGCAGGAGCGGGTACCACCTTGCCTGTTTATATAAAACATCATGGAGATGTTGTCTGTGAGGATTTGAACTGTACAATTGACAATTCTGGGCGCGAAATGTACGCATGCATTTCTTACTGTCCTCATCTCCAGTGATGTATATTGATGTCTCGTGAGGAGACTATTTACCTTGGACCACTTGGTCTTTCATGTGGGCTCCCAAGCCTAGGAGAGATACGTCTGTACTAATTCGTACCATGAGCTCGGTTTGGTGGAATGGAACCTCTGCCAGGAGATTGTCTGCTAATGTCCATCATTGTAGAGATGTAAGAACATCTGGAGGTATGGTAACTCTCGTTTCGAGAGTGGCGAGATGGGATGTATATGGTTGCTATCCAGAGTTGACAGCAATGGAAGAGCAGACGGGCATGATGGACCACATAAGTAGTTACAGCCATATGACCCATCAACCGGAGGCAGGTGAGTATCATGGCAGAAGGGAAATACAGGACTATAGTCCTGTATTTTGTTTCAGCTACACCAGACTAACACGGCTACATTTCTATCACTATGGTAGAAGGGGTAATGGATATTGTGTTTATGAAGTCTTATGTAGTTATGAAGCATTGTTGAGGTAAGTATGTGCACGCTGAGAATGAATCTAGGCAAGTGCCAATAAACTCTGTCTTGGACTAGGTGCAGCGCTGATTTCTGTTAGTTGATTAGAAGGCCTAGACAACTGAGGAGAGCTCTGGTTATGTTTATCATGGAGGTGGTTTCTTCCGTGACACTCCTTTTATCAGGCAGTAGTTGAGGTACTGAAAAATGACGACATGTTGTTGTCTGAGGTATGCAGTGATCACTGCTAGTACCTTTGAAAATACTCAGGGAGCCGATGAAAGGATGAAAGGTAGGACCTTGTATTGATAATGATCTGGTC